CCCGTGGTGTTAGAGCTAATTGTCTTGCACAAATCTGATAAATCATCTAATTAAACTGGGATAAAACTAATGAAACTATGGCTGATGGAAAGTAAAATTTCATCCTTTGCCACCAGTAGTGTGCATCTTGCTTAGAGAAGGGAGCAATTTCATAGCTAGTATCAGTTTAATAACTGTCATCTTTGCAACCGTGGATCTAGGGGCTAAGGCTCAATCCTGCCCTAGAAGAACAAGGGAAAAAGGAGGATTATATCACACTCCTGTTAAGAGATGTGTGTTCTCACTGCAGGGCTGTGGGAACTGTGACCAGCGTGTCCTTGCAGGAGGGCAGTAGCATCCTGAACCATGTTTTAAATTGGCAAAAGTCCTCTTCTCCACCCTTTGTTTTGCAACAGTGAGAGGACTTTTCCAAGAGGAACGTTTAATACATAAAAGGAGAGCAAGTCCTCTTCGTGTTTCCATGCCTGCAAGAACATTAGTGTATTCTATCCTGCAGGAGTGTGACCACGCTGGTGTGACCATGCTGACATGAGGCTTTCTCATAGCACAGGACAGAGTGTTCCTCCGAGGGCTATTTTAGCTTTAGTGCATTTTTCTTGCATTTCTCCCTTTTCATTTGCATACTTTTATATCAAGATTGCTAAGAGCCTTCTGACCAAATAACCAGGTGTTGGCTCTGGCATGTACAGTTACTGCTGCCAATTAGAGCATTCACATAAAGCCTTCTTAATGAAATACTATGTAGCTGAGGGGGTAGTTAAAGTAGTCCTGGAGTTGTCCCACTTCAAGTAGGGAATGGTTTAGGGCCCAAATTAATGACCTCTCATTTAAAAAAGTGAGAAAGAACAACAAAAAAATGAAGTCCTGCAGAAGAACAGGTCTTCAAGAAGAGTCACTGGCTTCTTTTTGCCCAGATCCCCAAAGGTAACTAATGCCGCTGGTGGAAGTTATGCAGCTAAACTCTTCAGTGGCTTTAGCATCTAGTTCTTTGTGCAGCTTGTCTCAAGTAATAGGCTTGACTGTAAGGCTGACTCAAACGTCTCCTCCCAAACAGCACTACGGCCCAGCTGGAACTCTTGAAACAATTCCATTTTGTTCTATTCTATTTTGTTCTAATATTTCTTCTATTTTGAAGATGGATTTTGTTTTTATTACATTTTAAATGTAGGTGCTGTAGTGCATTTGTCCAAATACCAAGTATTATATGTATCATAAAGACTGGATATCACTCTGGAACAAATATTAAGCCTCATTTACAATAGGTACCTGTTCCCCCGCCCCCCGCCCCCCCCCCCCCCCCCCCCCCAAGCAGAAATCTGTTTGCAGCCAAGGACTCTGAAGCATCAGCTATGTCTAACAGACTGTCCTTAAGCTTTCCAAGCCTGCCTCAGGGCACCAATCCATGGCCAAGTTAGGGCATGTCGGCTGGGCTACGGTAACTGCACATCTTCAGCCTGTAGCCAGTGCAAGGTAACTCAGCTTGGCTTACTCTGTAACGAAGGAAAGTTAAATCAAGTTACATTGGCTCATACTTGCTGTAGGGTAAAGCCTCACACAGATGGACAACCTGTGTGACCCTTTAATGTGGCTGTGGCTTTGGGAATAAGCTTTCCATGGTTTTGACGCCTTTGCCGATTGTTTAGCGTACACACGCACACACGCACGACAGTCCAAATTTACTTGGCTTCTTACCTTAGCAATAAACAGGTCCCGAAAGTGTTGTCCATGCGCACCATCTGGGAAGGCTTGCGTCTAAAAGTAGATGCTTGTGTCAGCCTGACGACGCTGTCTGGTTTTCTGTATTGCTGGAGGCACAAACAGAATGACGGTGATTTACAGCGCTCCAAAGTGAACCCAAAACGTTTTGTAACTGAACCCACCCAGGTAAAAATTACAGACCACATTCTTTAGCTGTCTGCTTGCTCGTAATTATTCTTGGCAGAGAAGGAGCCCGGGGTATCGCAGATCAAACGCAGCAATGAGCTCTGCAGTGACTGTACGGGCTTGCTCACAGTCTGCTTCGGAGGCAGCTACAAAGGCAAGCCATTATGTTTCAGTTTTCTGGTATATCACGTGCCGCAACGGTGCCCACAGCTTGAAAATAACTTGTTCTTGATGACTGGGATGCTAACCAGAGGGTCTGATGAACTTAATAGGTCAACATTGAAAGAAGGGCTAACATGGGATGGGGGCAAGTGTGAACTGCATGGAGCCACTCTAAAGTATGTTTACCTTTAAGTTTACCTTTAAATTTAACCTTTCTTTCTGCTCAAAGAATGTGACAGCAAGTTGGCTTTGCTCCGTCTACCAGTCTGGCTTTAATTCTTTGGATGTTGAGCTTCATATGTAAGTAAGTAAGTGAAGAGTCTACCTGCATGCTCAAACAGCAACGGTTGTTCCTGTGCTAACAGCAGTGGCAGGGAACGGCTTCGCTGCTCTCCCACCACTGTGCTGAGGGGCTGCAACATGGCAAGCGCCTTAAGGAAGGACCGAGCTATGTTACAGCTGGTTGGTATTGTACATGCCTGGGTTTGTACCTAATTCTGTCCTGCTTTCAGACACAGCTATGCCACTATATTTATTCCTCTCCTCTTACAGGAACAAGCTATACCACATCAGCTCAAGGTGCCCCCCCCCCCCCCTGCCTGCACAGGGTCTTGCTTTTAAATAATGCCTACGGTCATTTACAAGCCCAGCCAAAGGCAAACGATTATCGTGGAGCTGACTTCCAGCTATAAATACCTTCTCCTTGTTCCCTGACCTAAGGAGGATCCCAAGGCTGGATGAACCAAACCCTTCCGAGGGAACACACCCTTCGCTCCCGCGCTGCTTGTTTTTGTTTGGCTTTTTTTTTTTCCCCCCCCCTCCAAACTGGGCTCTCTTGCCTTTTAACCTGACCCCTCCCAAATTAGGAAATGCCTCGCTGGAAAAGTAGCTGGTGCATCCAGGCCTAAGTTAGCCAATGGTCAGATGGGTTCCTACCTCAAGGGAGCTGGAAGGAAAGGTTATTTTGGTTACGAGGGCTAGCCGTTACTTCTGAGCCTTCAGCTTTTCCACTGGGGCATAATTCCCTCCTGCTTTTTGCAAACTGCAAAATAAACACAGAAGCGACTTAGTAACTTTAGGCTTAAACTAACAGGTGCAAGCAGCAGAAGTGAGACCAGCTGGCAGGCTGGAAAGGGTGCTTCAGCTTCACTTTCTCTTTTGTTTGGGACTGGCTTTGTACCTTCTGCTGGTCTTTAATGAATGTTTTACCAAGCCCCAGGAACCACCAGCTGTTTCTCCAAGGTTCCCAAAAGCTTGTGGGCAGGGCAGCAGCCCTTGCTGTACAGGGATCTAGACCTTCCCTGAGATATTTTTTTTTAGGAGTGATAAACTGAAAGAGTTTGAAGAGGAGCGAACGGCCCATGGGTATGCCGCACTTTGAGCATTAGCACATGGCCTTTTCCCGTGCTTGACACCCAGAAACACAAGTCTTGGAGCTGCACGGTGAAGACAACACCGACGGGGACAGCAGCGGTCTGCCAAGACACTGCTATCCTTGGATCACCGTTTTCTCTGCCTATGACTGTCTCTGTAGCCCAAGTGCTGCTGTTACAGCCTCCTCGCAGGGTGGGAAGCACAGTATGAGCTTTTTCCTTTTGGTAATTTTAATGAGTCTCTCCACCGTTGGGGCTTTCGGCGTTGTAAGCATCAGCGATTCACACCCTTTTTACCTGCTCTTTCCCACCTGCTTACCCATCTGCAGGAAGAAGGGCGAGCGCCGTGTTTCACAGCTGGGCAACGAGGGCAGTGACAGTAAGAAAAGGAGCAGAGATGAGATTGGCCTTCTGCTGCCTGGGGCGCGCGCCGAGCCTGCGTCACCCTCCCTCTCCAGCTACCACGAGCACCGCTCACGTCACATCTAGCAGCCGGCCCAGAAGAAAAAACAAGGGCCTGAAAGCCTAGACCCACGCGTGCCACAAGTTGTTGGTACGTTTTGAGTAACGCCGATAAGCCGCCCGTTGTGTTGGTGCTTACAGAGTGGAACGACACCAAAAAGAAAAGAAGATTCGTACAAGCCGTGGCAGCAGGAGGGAGACCATAGGTAAACCTCTCCTGTGCAACTGTTGTCGGCACGTTTCTATCTCCGCTATACAAGCCAGTGCCAGGGCAGGGGATTTCATGACACAAACAAACTTCATTACCGTGGAACATTTCCTGCCTTCCTAAATGGATTTAGCTTGCCTGATTAGGTTTAATTTGTATTTATGACATGAGTTTTTCTAGTGCACTCAAGCCCAGGAAATGGGTAGCGTGCGCACAGCAAAGCATTTCCTTCTGTGTCCTGTAATAAAACCTCTGGGCTTTGCACCAGGCGCTGTGAGAGCCGAGAATTGCCTCTGCAGCATCTCACCCTGCAGACGGCAGTGATGCTTGCTCTGAAACCAAAAGATGGTTCGATTTTACTGTAGGCAAAACCCACAGCTAATAATAAACCCATGATGTGATAGGGTATGGGACTTGGGATCAATCTGAATAACAGGTCGCAAACAGTGATGCCTCTCAGCTGCTACAACAAAGAAAGGGAGAGTTTGCCTAAGTCCTGTTATTGCGTGCATCATCTTTCCCCTGGAGAATAAAGGCTCTTGCA